GGAGGACCGGGCCGGGAGGAGAAAGTCAGTTGGGATAGACGCGCACTTCGCCCCGGGTCTCTGGGAGCCTCGCGTCGCGTGCTTTCCCGGCGGTCAGAATGCGTTCATTCGAAGTCTGCGGCGCCTGCGTCTGACTGACTGTGACCGCTGATCTCGTCTGTTTCGCGCAGGCTCCATCATCGCCGTCCTCGCTCGCGGCTAATGAACCGAAGTATGAGAAGCGCTGGCTGGACGCCTTGTCCGTTCCTCTGTCTATGGCTCGAATCTCAAGGTACAAAGCTGGAACGCGAAGACTAAGGTGTGTGGCCATTGTCCGGAGTGGGAAGAGCTGACAAGCCCCGCACTCTGTCACCAGCCCCTAACACCCCGCTGACTGCCTCAGAGTGTTTGTGGCGCCCACTAGTGCATGGGGCTGTCTCCTGGCACACGTAGCATTTGCAAAAAAACGGTAATCAGAAGCACTGATTGAGGATATTGCCACCTCGTGGAAGGGTGACCATTGCTGGTTCTTTTGACACACAGTCACCAGAAGAAGAAGTCACGTTTTCAGTTTGAAATGTTAGCAGACACGGACTGGAAGACAGACCGCATAGACGAGTGCAGAAAGGCTCTTGAACTCTGGGCCTCGTTGTCTTCATTATAACGTGAGAGGTTAGACCAGAACCTGCATTACATGCTCCCTGCTTTTCAGCTTGATTGATTGAATAGTTCCAAATCCTTATGCGTGAGGCTGCGTCTGCAGGACGGTTTTGTGGTGCGAGGCAGCGTTTGCGCTCCGAGTTCCTGCAGCGGTGTCTGTGGCCGACTGCTGCCGGGCCACCGTGAGGGGACAGGGAGCCGGGGGCCGGCAAATTTCCTCTCCGGCTTAGGACAGGCCTGAGCCCTGTCCCTGCCTCACTGTCAGCAGAGGAAGCGTGTTGTTGTTTTGAAATCGAGCATTATCCAAGATACAACCCGTGTGCATGCCCGCCTGTGTGCGTGCGTGCGTGCGTGTGCATGCATGTGCATGCCTGTCTGTGTGTGCGCGTGCGTGCGTGTGCATGCATGTGCATGCCCACCTGTGTGTGTGCGTGCATGTGTGTGCGTGCGTGCGTGCGTCTGTGTTTTTGTAGAAGAGGGTCAAGGCAGAGAGAGGTTGGACATTGGGGTGGGAGTGAGCAACAGATTCCCAGAGACTATTATGTCGCCCGCCTGTGTGCGTGCGTGCGTGTGCATGCATGTGCATGCCTGTCTGTGTGTGCGCGTGCGTGCATGTGCATGTGTGTGGTGGGGAGAGTGAAGTCTGAGGTTCTCTTCACTCATCCTTCAGTGAAAGGCAAAGTCTATCGACACTTTTGATAAACGGTTATAATTGGATTTTCAGTATTAACTGATATTTGTTGCACAGCCTCTTACAGCGAAAGCTTCTTGTTGACACCACAGCACTAACAGGAACTCTAAGTTTGATTTCTAAACACGTGTCTGTCTTTGGAAAAATGTCTACGTGTGTAGAGAGGTGGAAAGATAGATGGATCGGTACACAGATGATGGGTGGAAGGGCGGGTGTATAGATAGATCGATGGGGGGCTAGCCGTGTGTAAGTTTAATACCGAGCGCAACGTGTGGCAGCCGACGCCCTCCCTGCCACAAACCCCACTCCGGACACTGCGTGTGTGGACACCGTGCATGAGGCTTTCCTGTGGCCGCGCCCTGGTCTGGGGGTGCTTTGTTGAACTGAGAGGACGAGTCCTGCTGCCTGACCTCAAATTCAGCAGTTCCTGGGAACGTGGACCCCGGACTTCGGGGGGCACTCGCCGGCCCCTCTGCCACCTCCCGTGATGAAGCAGAGAGGTGACACCAGCCTCGGGTTGGAAGGCCAGTGCCCACGGCTGTCATGGGCGGTGGCTTGTCCTCCACTGACACGGGCAGGGCACAGGAGGGACGCCTCATTCCCGGGGCGGGGGCGACTGGGAAGCTGGACTTTACCTGCCACGCGGCTGCCCGAGGACGTCAGACACCTGCGTTGTTTCTGGCAGGAGAGGAGTCGGCCCCACCGCCCGCTCCCAGCTCTGGGGCGGACACTCCGCATCTGCAGGGTGTGGGGGCGCCCAGCGTGCGCCCCACCTCCCTCCCGTTCTGTGTCTGACGGGGGCTAATGAGCCCCAGTGATCGGCTCCAGCTTTTGGTAAGACGGACATGCTGTTCTGCGCGGGCAGGTTCGCGTCGCTAGTTAGCCGGCCTTCTCGTGATTTTAAGCACGGTTTCCACGTGGCCGGGGAGGAGCAGACCGCCCAGCGAGTAAGGATCGGAGCCTGGAGCCTGCGTTTACAGAGCCCCAGCGGCCGCCCTCAGCCGCGTGTCCCCGCAGCCCCGTGGTCCCAGTTTGAAGGAGGGAACGGGGGCGTGAGCACTTTGGCTGGAACGGACGGACCTCAGGCCTCCCGGTCACTGGAGGGCCAGGCCGGTGGTGACGAGGACGCTGGGTTCCCTCTGACCGTCACCGTGCCGGTGGGCCCTCAGCGGCTTCAGCAGCACAGGCCTGTTCTGTCGCGGCTCACGTGGCCAGGAGCCTGGCACCTGTGCCAGGCGCACCACACCCAGGGCTCGTCCGGCCCGCTCTCCTCGGCCACAGGCGGGAGCGCGTGGTTCTGAGACCAGAGCCGGAGCCGCGGCCGCGAGCTCAGCCATCTGTGCCCCACGAGAACGAGCCGCGTTGTTGACGTACGTTGTATTTTCAATACATTTCTCCGCTCTTGATTGATACTATTTTGAATTTTTCAAAGAACCTTCAACCATTATGTAAAGAGCACCTTTCACACATTTGGTTATTTGTTCAAACACGAAGCATCTGAAAACACAGCCACGAGCCCCAGACACGCTGTGCAAACATCTTCCACGAGTTCAGACCTCGACCCGGCCTGCTGGCCACACGGGGAGTGGGCCCTCGTCCCTCGTCCCTGGCCTTGTGCGTCCCTGCCCTTATCCATAACTGCGTCGTCAGCAGAAGTGGCCTCGGGTGTTCTGTTTCTAAGTTAACTCAGTCGATACACTTAGTCCTCTGTTTGCCCTTAAGAACAAAACAGAGCCCACGCAATCTCTTCGCAAAGATGAGCCAGCTCTTTAAAAGGCAGCTTCCCTGACTCCTCGGGGGCAGAAGCGGGAGCTGGGCCTCCAGCGTGTGCCAGGCACAGGCACAGTGACATGCAGGCAGGGGAGGGACAGCCACTGTGGCTTTTCGGCCACCACCCAGCCCCAGCCCCTTCACTGCTGCTGAGGGTCCTCTCTCCCAAGAACAGGGCCAGCACGTGCATGGGGCACCTCGCCGTCTCTGGGGACCGCAGTTCTGAAGGACAGTCTCTGTGCTTTCTCGCGGGCCAGCGGGACTCAGCTTCCCTGCCTGTCCCACCACAGAGGGCTGCGCCTCCACACAGCTCCCGCGGGGTGGGGGAGCCGTCCTCACTGGGCGCCGGGGCTGACACACGTGGCCTTGGCGTTCCCACACCTGTACCTGCACAGCAGGTGTTCCTGCGAGGCCCGCTGTGTGCGGGGCTGTTGCAGATGCCGGAGCCGGTGGCGGACGGGCCCAGGGGGACGCACGGTCCAGGCGGACGTGCAGGTGGGCACAGGCCGGGACCCGGCCGGGCCATCCCAAGGGCCTGGCTCTGAAGGCTGTTCTGGCTCCGTCCGCCTTCGACCATCCAGCCGGCGTGGCCCTCGGGCCGCGGCCTCTCACGTCTCTGAGTCCCCGCTCCGGGAAGAGCACAGGGCAGGAGGACACGATTGGCCTCAGGAGGGAGACGGGAGATGACAGGAGGGTGGCGTGTTGCACAGGGAGGTCACCTCTCTCCCTGGACCCGCGGAACTGTCTGTCTCACGTGAACACCTTGCGTGCCCGAATTTTCCAGTGACGACGACGACGGTTTAATAAACCGACTGACAGGGAGGCACGCGAACACCTTGCGTGCCCGAATTTTCCTGTGACGACGACGGTTTAATAAACCGACTGACAGGGAGGGTGGTGCCGGGTGTCGAGTGGCCCGTGCGTTAGTGCTCAGGGTAGAGTGCCAAGAGGGGCCACTGCTCCCCGGGAAGGCGGAGAGGACGTGCTGACACGCGCCAGAGCAGGACCCACGGCACGGAGACAGCCGTGAAGCACACGCCGCGAACGAAAACAAATCCTGAGAAACGCACACGGTTTTCCTCTCACGTACAGAGAACGTGCATCCCTCTCGAGCCTGAGCGAAAATAAAAACGCACACTCCTCAGCTTCCGGAGTCGGGCCTGTCAGATGACACCTGTGTGGGCCATCACCTTTCCCTCCCCAGTCACTGCCCTCGCAGAGGCAGGCCGTGCCCGGCACGGATGGCGTGGCCATAGCTCATGCTTAGGAGGTTCCCCTGATAATTTATCAGAGTGAATGTATTTGGTCCTTAAAAACCACACGCGTGGTTTGAAAGGTGATTTGTAAATGCTGAGTTCTCTTTCTGTGACGTAAAGGCTCTGAGTGGACACTTGGGCCTCTCCGTTCTCAGAGTCACATTGTGAGGGAGGGGCTGAGATCCCGCAGCCCAACTAAAGCAGGGACTGGAAGGCGGGTCCCACCAGGACGCGACAGATGTCCAGTTCGGGTTTTACAGACGGCTGAGACGTGCTGCTTGATCAGACTCTGCCTGACACAGCTGGCCTGATGAGGGGTGGCGATTGCAGAGGGTTGCATGAGTTCCTGGGATAAATCCCTTTGATTTGGGGATATAATTCTTAATATGTGTTTCACCTGCCACTGGCCGGGGCAGCTGTGGCCTGAGCTTCTCAGCGTGCCCGTGGCCTTGAGCCTCCCTCTGTGCAGTGGAAGGCAGCTCCCTTGGAGACGACGGGTCAGGAGCTGTAGGTTTCATGGTAAAACCTCTGGGCCAGGGGTGGGGACGGGGTGGGGACAAGGACGCATTTGTCTGTAAACGAACTTTGTGTTCGGATTCCAGTCGTGCTCATTGGAGTGGGGGTGGCAGCTGGCCGGGGAAACCAGCTTAGAGATGAAGGACGTTTGGTCTCAGGGCCTCTGCCCAGTAGACCTGGGCAGGTGGCCACAGCGTCGCCAGCTCCGACCATGCTCAGGCTTCTCTCTGCTGGAACCACGACTGGACTCCCATCCAGACGGGCGTCAGGCACAATCTAGTGTGGACCTCGTTCTTTAAAAAAAAAAAGTGTCTGTTTTGTTGTGGTTTTTTTTTTTTAATCTTTCAATTATTCACTTAAGGATGTGAAGGTATAGGCTACATGGAGAAATATACTTTGTATTCTTAACAAAAATGAACAGGTGTAAATGGCATCCTTTTTTTTTTTTTT